TTAGAACTCGACGATGGTTTGGACGACTTGGATGATCTAGCCGGCTTGGACGATTTGGATTTTCAGGCAGGAGAAGTGATGGTCGAAGAAGTGGGTGCACGAGAAGACAATGGAATGAAGTTGGCGGGGTCACGAACAGATAACGGGATGTGATCTTGGGGATCCTCCTCATCCTCGACCTCATCATCCTGACCGATAATTCGATGAGTATGCTCGGTGGGCAAAGAAAAAGGACGACTGGTAACCTCATACTCTGGTTGGTCGACAAAATAGGTGGAAGAAGAGACGGCGGTTCCCGAGGGATTGCTTATGACCACTGCAGGCGGGAGGATGGAAATGGGCTCAGGCTGAAGAATTTCTTGTACAGAATCGCTCGATAGACTAGGGGTTGCAGAAGAAGAAGGGTGAGTCATGTCCTTCCCCCTGTATCGATCGTTCTTGCTTGAAGTAGCAGAATCTGAGAAAAAAGAAAGAAAATTTATAATTAGTCAAAGAAGAGAACAAAAACGAAGGACAGAGCATACGAAGAAGAGAGATGAAGAAGAACGGAGGAGAACACAGCGAGAAGGGCGAACAAAGGGCATGGCCAAAAATTGAGAAGAACTTCGAGGAAAAGGGAAGGATCCCAAAAATTAAAAATTAACAAACAGAAATTGAAAAGTTGGGGAGACTTACTCATGGCGAACAAATGAGAGCTTGCGGAGAAGATGGAGAATTCAAGGTTGCAGGATGCTCGATAGTTGCAGAAAGCTCTAGTGTGATAGAGTGCGAAAGTGAAGAAAAGGAAAAATTTCCCTAAGTGTGGATATTTATAAGGATGAAAAGTGAACATGGAGAATTGTCAACCGTAGGATCATAAAAAGTGAAGGGCTGCGATCAGAGGACAGATGAACAGGCGCAAGAAGATAAGCCGCAGGATCAAAATTGGAGATCTAACGGCTACCATGGAAAGAATGCTAAAGTGGGTGCGAGGTTTGAGAAGGCACGAATCACGGGCAATAATGACGCCTCACAAGCAAAAGGACGCGTCAGAAAAGGCGGACAGGTGACGAAATTCAAAATTAAAAAGGGGAAGATGGTGTTTACTATGAAGGGTGATAGAGAAAATGCAAAAAGCACGCCAGATAAGTCAAAGCAACAGAGTGGGACCTTGGGGCACAGATAAAACCTACTCTTAGATTGAGTCATTCAGACTCAACCAGAGTGGGGGGACTAGATGATATAGGATATTATATATTAGATCGGTTCGTCGGGTTAGTCAAACAAAATAGATTAACGGTCCGGTTGAACGGGACTGAACATCCGCAATGAAGGAAAGAAGATAGAGAACGAGGAAGAGCACATTCGGTAGTGATAGACAAGCATTGGCTGCTCGAGGGGTTGGTCGATGAAAACGATCAGACTGTCGTGGTCGTGGACTCGACCACCTCGCATCTCAGGGACAACTCTACATTTTTTGCAGATCTGGTCGAGTCTCAGAGAGGAAAGAATCCCCTGCACGTGGAAGGAGGACACGCGACGCTTTGCGAGTGGTCCACGGCGATAACGGACTCTGACATTCTCTGACATCTCCGACGCGTTTTCTGACACCAAGGATACTGGAGGCGTGCGGTTGTACGGACGAGCAGGAGGACAGTTGGCCCAACTCGCCCAAGTCGCGCGTGTATAACAGGTAGCTCGTCCCTATAAATAGGGACGAGAATCCTCATTTTTAAACACAATCTCTATAATACTCTAAGACACTTATACATATTTCTTTGATCTCTCTCAAGATCTGACTTGAGCGTTGGAGGCTCTTCACCGGAAAACACCTTCGTTGTGAGAGTTTCGTGCAGGTTCTGCGTTCAACCGGTGAGGAGAACGAGCTCAAGACTATTTTCAGTCGGTCGGGGTGCGAGACTTGTATTAAATAACAACTAACGGATGTGGGGAATCATGTGTGGGACAGGAAAGAGGAGGTGCAAAATCATATATGGGACTTTTTATGAGAAGCTATTCAACATTGACGGTTCAAAGGGAGATGCAGAAATTCTACAATTGATTCGAGAGTCTATCTCCTCAGCAATGAATGCAAGCCTTGTAGCTCCAATCACAAAGGAGGACATCAAAGAAGCTTTGTTAAACATGGACCCTGAAAAAGCACCTGGACATGTTGGTATGAGCCCTCTCCTTTTTCAAAAGTTTTGGTATGTCATTAAATTGGATTTCTGTCATGTTATGCTCAATTTTTTTTTAATCTGGTGAGTTACTTAAAAGTTGGAATCATACACTCATTTTATAATTCCAAAATTCCTAAACCATTATTCTCTCAAACACTATAGACTATTAGCTTTTGTTGTTGCTTATAAGGTCATTTCAAAAATTCTGACTATCATACTGAAACCTTGCCATGATAGTTGTGTGTGAAAACTAAGCCGCCTTCATCCCTGGAAGGCAACTTCTGGACAATATAGTAATGGCACAAGAAGTTGTGCATTTTTTGAACAGACATATGACTGGTAAGAAGGGTTTCGTGTTGGTTAAATTAGACATGAAAAAACCTTATGACTGGGTGGAGTGAAGGTGAGGAAAGTGCTTTTGAAAATGGGGTTTCATGCAAAATTTTTAACGTGGGTTTCGGCTTGCATTTCTTCTACCTCTTTCGTTTTCAGTCTGAATGGGAAGTTAGTGGTTATATTTGAGCCTCTAGAGGGATTAGGGGATCCTCTTTCCCCTTGAATTTTTATCTTGATTTTTTAGGTCTTTTCTAGACTGCTGAAGAGTGAAGTTGGGAGAGGAAGGTTTCAAGGGATAAAGATTGCTACGCAAAGTCCTTCAATCTCTCATTTGATGTTTACAGATGATACTTAGTTCTTAGTGAATCTGAAGATTCCCATGCTCAGATTATGTTAAATGTGCTCACTAGGTATCATCTTTTTACTAGGCAAAAGGTGAACTTAGGGAAATCCTCCATTTTTTTAAGTAAAATAACCTTATGTGCTCAACAAACTTATATCTGTCATCTTTTGAGTGGAATCCAAGTTCACGGATCTACCAGATACCAAGGGTTGTCCCTAGGTATTGGTACAAAAAAAAAAAGACTCCTTTAAGTTTGTGTTACATTTTATGAGATCAAGGTTGATTAGCTGGAAAAATCAATTTTTGTCTTGTGCTGGAATGTAAGTTTTATTGAAAGCAGTGGTCAGTGCACTTCATGTGTTTTTTGTCCTGTTTTTGTTTTCCAAAAGGGATATGCAAGTATATAGCAAGAATATCAGCTGTATTCTGGTGTAGCAAGGGGGAGCATCATGCTGGAGTGCATTGGAAACAAATGAAGATATTGACTTTGCCAAAAGAAGTTGGAGGATTGGGTTTCAAATATGTCAGTTTATTCAATGAATCACTCATTCTCAAACAAATTTGGAGGTTAGTCACTCATTCTAGTTTGTTGGTCCTTAATGTTTTAAAAGGGAAGTACTTCCCTGATTATCTTGTGCTCCAAGAAAATAAACCCTACAATGCCTCTTGGTTGTGGGCTAATTAGCTGGTGGTAAGAGACAAGTTCAAGCATTTTTTTAAGGGGCAGAAAAGGTAGACACAACAGTATTTGGAATGACCCCTGAATTTCTGGTATTGAGTCTGGTTTTCTTGAAAAAACTGCACTGGGAGTGAGCACGGTAACATGGGTTGAGGAGTTGATCTAAAAAGATGGAAGATCTTGGAATAGAAGGTTGATTGAGGAATGCTTTAATCAGACTGACAAGGAGGCTATTCTTGAGAACAAAACCTTGGATCCTTGTCTGAATGATAAATGGAGGTTGACACTTGACAGCAAAAATAAGTTTTCTGTTTCTAGCTCTTACTCCAAGCTGGTGATTAGTAAACTCAGAGAGTTGGACATTGCTGAGGGAAGTGAGACAACTAAGTGAGAGAATAAGGTAAGGGAATTAGCTGAGCCTTAAAAATCAAACCTCAACTCAAGCGCTTTGTTTGGAAGTGTTTTCTAATAATTCTCTACATGTGAGTATAAATTTGAAACAGAGGGGGTTAGACATTGATCCTAGGTGTCATGGGTGTGGTGAGGAGCTGGAGTATGTGAAGCATGTCTTTTTTCACTGTAACCGAGCTCAAAGGATTTGGAAGCTAGCCCATGTTTGCTGGAATGAGATAGTTGTTGTAGGTTCTTTCAAACATTGATGGTGGAAATGCTCAATGGATAGAAGAGTTTCAGAAGCAAGGATTGAGCCAACTACATACATCATCTGGTGGTTGTGGAAATCCAAAAATATCTAGAAATTCCAAAATGTGTGGACGTCGGATCATGTGGTACTCAACTCAACTCAGGTCGGATGGAATTTGGAAACGGGACTTCCAGGAATGGTCAATGATGAAGGAGAGTGTTGCCAAGTCCTTAAGTTCAGTGGTAACTTTTTCCTTTATGTTTGATTTGAACTCTTGTAAGCAGTTTGGAAGGTTGTGTAGCTGGAATTTGTGTTTGTCAGTTGTATTTGAGTAACTAGAGGGCTCAAGTTTCACTGCCTCTATCTCATTTGTTTAGTAGCCTGGTTGATGTTGCTAGTTGGAGTTTAGGTCATCTAATGGATGGCCTTTGTATATGTTCTGCATTTATGGGGACTACTCAGTCTTGTATTTATTTGTGTTGAACTAATTTCTATCATTTCGAGAAAAAAGAAGGAAGAGATGGTGATGCAAGACGTAACTAACATTGTCTAGTAATATAAACTGGTGTCTCCGAACGCACCAAACCATCCTTATATTCATAACAATATCAGACTCTTCTTTTCAGCTATCACTCAGGATCTCCTCAAGACCGACTCTATTTCATCCACAAAATACATCTTCAGGAGCATTGATTTTAACAATATCAGATTTTCCTTTCAGTAATCACTCGGAATCTCCTAAAGACTGACACTATTTCATCCACAAAACGTATCTTCAATGAACATTGATTTCCATATATCCTGCACACAAAATTCGGTCGACAGGTCAAATGCTGAGGATTAGGTTCCTCCCTTGTTTGCAGCTTTCTTGGTTTTCTTCTGCTTCTGCTTGAGCTGAGTGAGGCCTGCAGCCGAGACTTTCACGTTGCTGATAATGGCGGCAACGAGCTCAGAATCCGTGCAAGCCTTCATTAATTCCTTCTCTCTGGTTGTTGCCTCAGCCATATGACCGAACAAATTCATGGCTGTCTTGGCCGCTGCACAGAAAAAAAAAGAAAAATGAAATAAAATAGATGATTACATGAACACCAACTTATAACGGAGGATGTAAATACTATTAATTTATCCTGTTCTTTCTGACAGAAGAAAAAAGAAGAGGACAAAAAATGGCTCTTCATACAGAATTGATGCTCAAAGTAAATATATTTTTGCAGAGCAGATGGAATAATCGAAAATTTTACTCAGTATAAACAAAAAGGGATCACTATAAACTACCTGGAAGTTTAACCTAATTACAGAAGATCGATACAAATATACCAAAGTGTAGTCTGTGCTTGGATTTTCAAATACCAAACCCCATATGCTGAGGGACATTTGTAATTTTGAGAGTTATGTTTTTCTTTTTTGATAGTTACACTAAATATCAGAGTTACTAGACGAGATTATCAAAATGATAAAAGGGAACAAAAAGTTCCAGATACAGAAAATGATCATTCGACATGTGTACCTTTTCCTTTCTTTAACGTGCCAGGGATTATCTTCACACGGTATTTATATGATTGTAAAGCATTGTAAGGACCACAGACTGGCACAGCATACAATAAGACGTCATTCGGTAGTGGATTTCCAGTAAGGTAGTCCACATCATTCAGTTTCTCTCTTTCTTCTTCCCCAATCTCGTGAATATCATCTTCCTCCATGGTCACCCTGTCCACCTCACCATCTACTTTAGTGCTTGGAGTTGCATCCGGATGTTCAGGACAGTCTCGAGACATATGGCCTACCTTCTTACATTTGTAACATATCTTTGAATCATCAGCAGCAGGTTCTGCAATATAAATGAGGAAAACTTTTTGACTACCAAAATGCCACAGGATACCTCCTCAAAGTCAACTCAGAAATGTTCGAATCATGCATTAAAATTGTTAGAAGAAATTACAAACTAATGACAAGAAGTCTGCCAAAGTTAGCCGTAAGTTCTGTATAACTGCAAACTAGTGATATCAGCATTGAACTTTGGTGCCATATAGTTCACATTTTATGAATCATAATTAATCAAATAAAAAGCAGCTTATACTATATGTCTGGCAAAGATGACACTCAAATATCCCATTTTCATGCTAAGATATCTTAACCTACCGAGTGGTTCAAATCTTATCATGACCATCAGCTAAGAACTTGTATAAATATCATTGTTTATTAGCTTTAACTGGCAAACAACAATTTGTTTGCATCGTTTTTTTAATTCCATCTCCATACAAATATGAAATAAAAACTATGGATAGAAAAAAGTAAAATAAAATAAAAAATAACAAAATAAAGGCATGGAGTATTGAGATCATGTACCAGGTAATCATGTCATCAGGCAGTGAAAGGAAACAAATCTTTAAACCATTATACAAAGAATAGTGGAAATTTAACCTGTAGCAGGTTTGGGCCCTTTTTCTAAAGTGACATTTTCAATCTCAGTCTTCTCAGTTTTCTTCTTTGACTTTCCAGCGGCCTGCAGTTTAATTCAAAACCAATAAAAACAGCGTTCTACAAGGGGATATCATTAATGGCATTCCAACTTTTCCTATGGATTTACAGTTCAGGTTCCTTGTGGCCTCTTTTGCAAGATACTGATCATATTCTCATCTTGTCCTTTAGTATAACTCCTAAACCAGTTTCTATGAAGAGGAGCAGTTTCATAACAATAATTGGCAAACATTTTTATATACGAAGGTTATAAAAGGAGTGAAGCAAACCCATCTGTTCAGGGGGAGAAAAAAAGAAAGAGATATTGATGGATAATTTGTATAGTAAGCAACTTGAGATTAAGATTGGATGGCAACACTTACTGCCAACAGGGCTATTCTAATGCTCCGTTCCTCTTCATCTTGATCAGCATACTTTTCCTTTATCTTCTTCAACTTCCCTCTCTGTCCACGGCTAGGTTTTCCACCACCTGGCTTTGGATTCTTACCATCATTCTCAGCCTGGCTTACGTATTTTTTATGTCCTTTTTGCTTATCAATTGCAGCGGATGAACTGGCAGCGTCATCTTTCTGGTCTTTCTTAAGCTTTCTTCTTTCAGCTTTGGAGATATAAGGTTTATCTCTCTGCACTGCATTTTCAAGGTTGTGTTCCTCCACTAATTCCTCTTTCGAATACTGGAGCTCATATTTCTTAACAGATGCAGTAGCAGGTCCAAGCTCGAGAGCTCGATCTATTAAATCCTCTAAATCTGGCGTAATAGCAGATGTTTTGCTAGAAGACTCAAGTTCCTCATCATTAGAAATATGATTCGCTGAAGTAGAAGTTTCATCAGCCACGTCAAGCTTAACAGGCACATCGAAACCATTCAAGTCACTGGACTGGACCACTGGAGACAAAACCCCCTTGGGTGGTCTTTCCGATGATAAATCCACAAGGTTCGACGAGTCTGATGTGACCTTTGCACCAGATAGTTCCTTCTCGGAATCAGAACCAGAGTCGGATATCTCTTGGAAAGGCTCACTTTGCTCGGTGTCATTTAATCCTTCCTCTTCTCCTCTTACCCTCCTTTCATTCAGATGAGATCCTAGAGAACTCTCATCCAGACGAAACAATATCCCAAAGCCCATAACGAGAGGGTGTGGTGGTAGAAAATTCTTTTTACCTCGAATCATAAAGCTCCCAACCGTAAGATATTCTCCAGTGGGGGCTGTTTTACTGACCTGGTGTGGATATACCCACCACGCACTAGTCACTATCTTCGAGTCCCAAGCCTTGCTGTGGCAGACCTGCAAACGGTAGAGATGCCGTGTTACAAAATACATGCTGCTGAGGTCATATTGATAAACTGGAAATGGTTATTCTCACTTACTGTATAACATCCAGCTTGGTTCAAGGTGAGAGGGGGAACAGGGACTTCAGGTTTGTGATTCTTGATCACAGTACTAGAAGCGCCATGGAGTTCCGCATGGACATACCTATTTCATGGAAACTAATACACATTACCAAACTGCAAAACATCCATGATAACTGGTATCTAGCACAAAGAAAAAAAGAATGAACAATAAAATTGTATCACATCAGAATCAGAACATTGATAAATTCTTTTACAAGTATTGTAAACGAATTATCCGTCTTTCAGTACTGCACATTAAAAGGCACAGAACTGTCCAAAGGACTCCACCAAGTAGAGAGATACAGTTGCCAAACGTAAAATAACTAAGATGATTCTTAGAATTTGATCATCTCAAGTTGTAACATTTTGCTTACAACAGAAGCATCAATTTAATCACAAAAAAATGTAGTCCAACTTTACATCGTCACATATATAAACATGACGAATACATACATATATATTCTTGTAAGAACTTGACAGAAAAAGACCCGAAAAAGATGGTATGAGAAAGAGTCACATTTACTTACAGGTCTCCTTTTGACATATAGCGTTTGACTATCATCTCATTTTGTTGAGCATCTCTTCCACTGATAACTAGATAATTCTCGCTGCTGATGAACCAATTGAATTTTTCAAACCAGTGAACCTTGCGCATGTGTGTGATTGAGGCGACTGCTTTTTCCTGCAGCCCAAGTTTAACGAAATGCTTACAAAATAGAGAAACTACGCAAATATCACTAGGAAGAGTAATAATTTCAATATGATTAATCAAACACCCCTTACAGACCATGCAAATCCTTTAGCATATCTAATAAATGAATTTTATCAGCAAATTCAATAAGCACCATGTTATGTACATATCCAATGATAAGTAGGAAAAAAAAAATCATGCGCAAAAATTTCAGATGGACAAGATACAATAAAAAAAAAGACAAAAAAAGTCAAATAGTATGGAACAATAAACTGAAGAGTAAACTAAATGTCACTCTTACTCTGATGTTAGGTTCTTCCAAAGAAGCACATATATGCATATATTAAGTTCAGTTCAAGTCAAATGAATCACCAAACAGGCAAACACAAGCAAAAGAAGATAAAAAGAAGTCATTTCAATCAGTAATCTGGACCGCTTGGAAATAAGTTCATGCTGATGCAAAAAGAAACACTTGTGCAAGTATTAGTTTCAATGACAAAATGGATGCATCATAATTTAAAGGTTAAAAAGGATGCCAAGACCATTCAATTATTTAGTAACTTCATTAGCTCTTAAACAACTACACTTCATAATGCAGTCCTTGGGCTACCTGTGAAAGTTGCTGGCGGGTTTTCCTCTCAGCAGCTTTGAATGCTTTCTCATGTGCTGTAACAGTTTTCTCCTGCTTGCTCTCTTGTTTCTTCTTCATTTCATAATATCGACGAGCATTAGCATGTGCAGAAAGCGCAAGATCAACTTCAACCTGAAAAAGACAATGCAAAATGCAGATACGAAGCATTAAGTCTATTATGCTGTTTTCTTCTTTTTTAGAAGAAAGGTTATCAAATGTAAATAAAAAATCATTTATGTCAACATAAACATATGTTGGTGAAAATGAGAATTTGCTAGTATGCATGCTTCTTAAAACGTGAGGAACAGTGACGACAAGCATCACACTTATTCAGATATTCACTTAAGTTATGTTTGAAGAACTGTCTAATGCTTCAGTGCGTTGATACAAGACATATCCATTAAAACCCTTTATTATAAGGCTCCAATTTTGTTAACTACCTTGTCTACAGGCTGTGTCTTCTCCTCATCATCCATGTCATCAAGATTGTTGCTAAGGAGAAGTGTGATGCAATTTCTTTCCAGATGAAGCTTGTCAATGAGACCAGCGACAGGGTTTCCAGATTTCTTCTCCTCTTTCACCATACGAGCCAGGTCAGCCCAGCTCATACCATTTGCAAGAGCTACACGGACTGCTAAGATGGCAGCATCTACGTCTTCTAAGTTGTATTCAATCAATTCTGCTTTTTTAATACTCTGCTCAACCTCTCTCTTTAGTGCATGCACACGGCTTTCCTGAGACACAGTGAAGTTTTTCCAACAAATGATGTGGATATTGACGAAATTGCCAGCTAGCACGAAAAAGCAGGTTGAATGAGCCAGAAGGCAAAGAATACAGCCAGGTGGGTTAAACTTGGAGATAATGTTAACTTAATATTGAACTTGGACATGTCTTTGAAACTTTTCCAGGCTTTCTAAATGGTGCTTTTTAGAATTGTAGAAGAATAGACATGTTTAGTCACTTAGAAATCACAAGATTTTTCATGTATTAAATGTTTCTGGTTTCTGGTCTCTATTTTCATCATATAAGTAAATAACTTTAATTACTGCCCTAATTTATTAGGGGATAATAACAGTGAGGTCTGAGCAAAAAAAGGTCTTCTATTGGGCAAGGCTAAGGGAGTTATGAATGCACTCAAGAGGAGCATTTAAGTTTGGGAGAGGTTTACAAGTTTTGAGCTTGTCTTGTACCTCACCATGAACATCGCAATATCAAATTTAGATCTACAAGTCTCACTAGGCTAGCAAGTACTTAAAGATTAGCCCAGTTGAGGAATTCCTTATATAGTAAATGCAGAGGAATGTATTTCCAAGATTAGGATGACCACAGAATTTGCAAATGATGAACCTGATCTATTTTGATCTTGTCAAGTCTCTGCATGGCAGAATTTTCTTTAGCCTTCTGCTGTTGTTCAGAACGTTGACTTTCAATTTTACTATAGAATTCGTCCAACGCTGCATCAAATGTCTCAAACTGTACAGAATCTCTTGATTTGAACTGGTTCAGCAGCAGAGGGCAGAACTCATCATATATCTGCAGACGAACAACCTCGATATTAAAAAACAGCTGGAAGAAATACATATTCACATTCCTTTCAAAGAACTATATAAATAAACCAAACTGAATATAAATAAACCAAACTGAAGAGGATCATTGCAATGATAACCTTCTCAGAGGTACCCTTCTCAGACACAACACCATCCCGTTTACCCGAATTCTTTTGCTGCATCAGGATGTAACCCTCTGGAACTTTCTCACCAAAAATAACATCTGCTAGCCAGTCCTCAAACCTCAACACAGCTTCAGCCAGAAAATGGATGGTGTTATCATCCAATTGTATATCCTTACTGATTTTCGTACTTGGTATCAGACCAGCATCCAAAATAATGTGTTCAGACAACGCCGGTCCATAACCCAATGCTTCTCCAAGGACAACTTTCAGAGTTGCCTGCTTGGCACGGGCATTATCACTTTTCTTCGACTGACTAGGCTTCACATTTCTCTGGTTATCATGCTTCTGTGTCAGGGCATGATTACTATCATGTCCATGTTCACTGCCATCTAGATTATCGTCTCTATGGGCTTCCACCAACGATTGTAGGGCCACTGACATCTTTTCTCTAGTTGTACGCTCAAAGATTCGAGATTGTTCGACTGGATATCGGTGCCGAGACATAATTGCAATCCCCTTATCATCATCCCTTATATTACAGAAAACAATAAGTACCAAGATACAACAACACAAGCTACAAAAAAAATAAAAAATAAAATAAAAAGGTTGGCAAAGCATTTGCTGCTTCCGATTAATAGTCAAGCCGCTGATGAATCTAAACATGCTAATTGATGCTACAAAACAAAACAAGCATTGGGATCACCCACCTGTGAGAACGAAGGAGAGTCAAGACGGTGAACTCAGAATCTGTAAGAATAACATTCCCTTGGGCATAAAGCTCCAATATGACATAGTGGGCATTAACACCCTGCCCGAATTGAAAGAGAATTATCTGCGCACAACATGAAATGTTCATTTCAGGAAACCTATCTTTAACATGACAAGTTTATACTTGTTAAAAATTTAAAAGGCATTGCACACCCTATCATATCCAAGTTGCCGCACATCTTCAAGCCTCCTCGTCCTAATGTGTTTCCTTAATTTCAAGGTAAAACCTGATGGCGTAATGCTTTTGTCCCTATATACGAAATAACATTCCATATTTAGCATATAGACATTCATTGCCCACCATTGGTTCATATATAGGCTACAAACCTAGTATATTAGCATAGTATATTAGCGGGGGCAGCCTGAAGTCCTAACAACCAATGCACAAGACAGAAGGCTCACATCAAACAATGAACATCTCATCTTTCAAGACTATAATATACTTTATCCTCTAATCATATTGATGTCACATTACAACTTACATAAACAGTGACCTAGTTGGAAATCAACCTGAGCCACAAGTCCATTGAATATAATGGTTAGGCAATACAATAGAATTGCATTAAGCAAGAAGCGCAGAAGTTCTGTGAAACAAAAATAATTTACTCCTCCCATAAACCCCTTCAATACTGAATGTGCATCATAGTTGTTCCAAGGAACTGTATGAGATATTCTCTAACGTCTTGCACAAATACAGTGCAATGGCAATCCAACAACACTCCAAAGATTGAACGTTTTAGTCGGTCACATCAAAATCTTTTTGCGCTTCCTTAACTCTTAACTGAAGATATACCACCGAGTATAAACCCCCAATCCCCTAATCCCAAAAAAATTGGCCAAAATTTGGATTATTTTTCTTCAAAAATCTCCAAACTTTACTTGCACATGCTTACTGCACACAGCGAATTGAAACTGAGTTCCAGAACCTCACCTCATATACTCTGTTGTATGCAACCTTACACCACTTTCCATCAACAGCAAAACCTTCTCACTCTCACCCGACTCCGTCACCCCACTGCTACTCATCAGCTTAAACACATATGTCTACAATACAATTTAGAAACGTTCAACATATCAAACAGTAATCATACAGAGCGACTAATTTACCCAATAGAGTCAGCTCAAGTTTTCAAACAGAAAAAACAAATAAACGCTCATTATACTGACCTTCGGTGAGAGATCGTACACGTTGGAGCACCGCATACCGATCAAGCGGCGGAGGCACTTCACCTCCGCCGCCACGTCGGCGGTGTTCATCCGCACCTTCACCATCTCCTCTTCCTACGCAGTTACTCCTTCCAAACTGGGCGAAATACGATCGCGAAACACGGGATTAAAAAAATAATAATTAAAACTAGGGCGTAGATGGGAATATTGGAGTTGGGACAAACTAACATATTTTTTTTTTTTTAACGATAGAGAAACTATAATAAATCAAAGGTGCGAAAAAAGATACAAAGCTCCTAAAGGGAGAATAAAGTGGAAGGACAGGTTAGAAGACCGCCTAGAATCCCGCTAGCAATGCTAGAATAAATACTCGCAACTAAACTAACACACAAACAAACAACTAAAACAACTCAAAAGACCTCAACCGGAGTAATCTAAAACAACTCAAAGATCTCAACCGGAGTAATACCCGAGTGTCAGATCCCAACAGGATAATAAATTTGACACCCGGGTGCACAGAGGCCAACAGCTCAAACCTAAAACACAAACACAAACACAAACAAAACAAACACAAAAACATGAAAAAACAACCTAAAAAAAAACAGAGCCCTCCCCCAGCGATCAGACAAACCCAACCAGCAGTGGACGATCGACACAAGAAGGATCCTAGCCCGAGAATCTGCTACCGAAACTGCATTATGCCTATACAGTAGAAGACACCGAGCCCTGAATCGATCCCAGAATCGACTCATCCTCAACCGAAAGAACCGCAGCCAACCTTCACACCGGCCACCCGAACTCGACAAGCTCGAAAGAACCATGTCCCCCGCCGCCTAACACCACTAGGCAAATGGGCTCGCCCAAAGGAAGGTCGCGCCTTAGCCCCAATCTCCGCGACTGACGAGCCGCAGCAACCGGAGCCCGGACCCCTCCCTCGGTACGAGTACCACCCTAGCCAACCTCAGAATTCCGACAACAGAAGCCCAGCCCCACCGGAGCAGGCGAGCCCGCCGGAGAAACACCCAATCGACAAAAGGAGAGGCGAAATTGAGACCGGACAAACCTCCACTAAGCGACTCCCACAAGTAATTGAGAAGAGGCTCGAAACACCTGTAAGTCGTCGAACCGAGGGACCGCCGCTGCCAACCAAAATCACCCTGCCGTCAATTGATCGGACCACTGTCGCGGAGCATCTGAGGCGTGAACAGAGCCGCTCATACCAGGAGAGGGCCAGGCGGTCAAGGACGACCCCTGGCCGGGAAGATGCCGTCGACGGGAGAGGCAAATCGAGCGAGCTGTGAAGAGGGGCGAATTTGGGGTAGGGTTTCGAGTTTTCGGGAGTAGGAGCTTTTTCGATGTAAACATGTACACAAACAAAGATCTTTGATATGTAATTTATTTATTTATTTTATTTATTTTATTTATGGTCAGTATTTTAATCTAAATTTGCTATTAAAGTTACTAGTGTGTTACCAGCCGTGCACAGCACAACCGGCTCAATTTTTGTTATATTTAAATATGCAATTAATATATAATCGAGTTGTGTGGTATGGTGCAAAAGTATGTTGACTAAGTATTAGTTTTAGTTTATAGTTATCTTGCTATTATTTGTTCTTATAGTGTATAACAAAAAGAATGACAATTACGGCTATTTTGATAATATTAATATCCACACTGAGTTGTTATTAAACATGGAGCAAAATTTTATTTTATTTCCATGCCTCATCCGTAGTTTAGATATAAAATTCAAATAATGTTAAAATTCAACTGAAACATAATTTGAAATCACTCGTTAGTTATGGTCACACAATAGATTAGTGCTAAAGTTGCATTGTAACAAACATTAGATTTTAACTCTTAAAGTGAGTAGGTCATTCGGTTGAGTCTGGACATGAAAGTAGCTTCTTCGATAATAACATTGTTGTCAAAAAAACTCTCATGAGTCATTCACACTGTCTAAAAATTCTCCAAGTTTAAATGTATCAAATTTGTCCAATCAAGTACGTAGAAAAAAGTTTGTACCATAGTTTTTAAACTCGGTCCGGTAATCGACTCGGACAGGTCTCCAGGTCATCGGGTCATCGGGTCACCGGTTCAACCGTTGGGTGACCAGGTCAATTGGTGAACCGGATAATTACTTTTAAAATTTATAAAATTATATATAGAGTATTTTTGTCATATAAATATACATAAAAGTAACAAAATTAAATGTTTTGTGTATAAAATTTATAAAATTAAGTGTTAATAATAAGTGTCTCATGATAATATTTACTATATAAACATATATACATAGTTTTATTTAAAAAAAAATAAAAAAAAATGAAAAAAAAAACATATATATAGGGATTGGATCCAATGAGTACACATATTTAAAGTGTGTACGTGAGACCCAATCTCAGCCATTTATTTCTCGCCAAATCTGACGGTCAGTAGCAGCCTCTTAAATATATTAGTTGGTTCGCGGTTTTAGGTTGTCCCGTCATTTTGAAACTTTCCGTCTTCTCCCAGTTCTCGATGCTATCTGCTCTCTCTCATCATTGCAGTTTTTTCGTTTCCCTATATTCTCTCATTTTCCGACGCTTTCTCTCATCATCGTCATTTTTCGACGCTCTCTCTCAACATCGTCTTCATTTCCGAAGCTTTGCAGATTCAATTTCCGCTTGTCTTTCATCATTTGTTCTTCGGTTTCGGTTTTTGTTTCAGTTATCTTCTAATTTCTCGCAAGTTGGTGAGTATATTTGTTTTTATTTACTTTCCAGTAATGTTTTTGATTTTTTAGGTTATGTTTGTGGGTGTATATCTTCGCAATACTTGTAATCTTCTGTATTTGGTGATTTCATTGTTCTTCAAGTAAATATAAAAAACGAAAAACTATTTTTAGTTGTGTTGTGTTTTTTTTTTTTTGTTAAACCCTATTTGCTGCTATTTTAGTTTATGACTGCTGCATAGATAGTATAATATTCATGCAACGGCGTTGTTTTTTGTGCTAAATCTGTTGCGAACAATACATTGTTTGTTTTTATTGTTAATTTATGTTATTTTAGTTTATGAAAATTGCATAAATAGTATATTTTTATGCATATTTAGTTGTTTTTTGTGCTAGAACTGTTGAGAACATTTTGTTGTTTCTCGTCTCTGTATTAGAGCTTGTACGATGCATAAATATTGTATGTTTTTTGCATTTTTAGTTTTAGACTGTTTGCAGGACATCACTCTTTGTATTGCTGCTATATTAGTGAATAAAGTATGCATATATTGTTTATATTTCCTGCTTAATTAGTTATCAAATGTTGCTTGATATGTTCATATTTACCTATTGCTATATTAGTTCTTGTATGACGCTAGATAGTAAATATATTAGTGCTTGACGTGTCCATATCTACAATGTTGCTATATAGTTGGTTGTTGTTGCATTTTTAGTTCATATTAGTTGCATATTTATTTGGTTGATTTTGCATATCTAGTTCATATGAGTTGCATATGTACTTGGTTATAATTTATTTCATTTTTGTGTTATTGTAAGACAGATATTCTTGAAGTATGCCTCGCGTTAAGAGTACCAAGCGTAAAAGAACTAACCAAGATATTGATGATATTTTCTTGCTTACTGATGGCACAGAAGGTCAGTCGGATATTAATAATCCCTTCCCAAAAGTGATAACTCGCTCTTCTCCGAAGATCCTAGTGGATGCTATGAAATCTTTTAACCAACAACAACGAATAGTTGTTGAGACGATGGGGTTTGGATGTCTGTTTCATCTCCAAATCAAGGAATTTCCGACTCAGTTGGTGCACTGGTTGTTGTCAAATTTTGATCCTGTTAGTTGCCAGCTTGATCTTGGGAAAGGAAGAAGTATTCATGTGTCATCTGTGGATGTTCTGCGTGTTCTAGGCTTTCCCAATGGTGATAAGCCTATTGAGAAGAAAAAAATATCTGAGGAGTGTGATTTGTTGAATAGATGGGTGGTTCAAGTTACATTTTCTTGCTCTTGTGGATTGTCTGATTGTGGGAACAAATCAGTATGGATATGTGAATCCTCTTTTTTTCAAGTCTATTTTTGATTTGTCATCTGTATTTGAGTTGAAGTGGTGCGACTACATCATCCAGAACTTTATATCAAAGAGTGATCATTGGCACAAGAGTAATAAGAAATCTCAATTTAATGGTCTTGTTCTTTTTCTTGTGGTAAGTATCCATCCCTATATTATTTGTTATAAATTTGTTTAGATTGTTATTCTTTGATATTTTTATTTATTTATTTATTTATTTTGTCAAAACGCAGGTTTTATATGTTGATCGTGTAGTGATTTATGAACGACATGTTCTTCCAAGGAGTGTGCCTTCGTTTGTTGGATGGAATTGTGAGATTCTCCGTCGATGATGCTCTAAAGAAATTAAGGTTGGTGGTTTTGGACGGGGATTTGTTGATGAACCGAAGGAGATTCCGCCTTTGCAGTTCAAGAAACCTGAATTAAAGAATGTTTCTGATGATCCTGTACAGGTTTGTTATTTCTTTGTTTGGTTTTTGTTGCATGTGTAGCTGATATCAGGTGCATATGTAGTTCTTACGTATTGCATATTTAGTTCATATAAGTTGCATACTTAGTGTTATGAGTTGTATATTTAATTGGTTGTTATTGCATATTTAGTTGATATGAGTTGCATATTTAGTTCTTGTGAGTTGCATATTTAGTTCATATGAGTTGCATATTTAGTTGATATAAGTTGATTTATGTTGCATATTTAGTTGATGCGAGTTGCATATTTAGTTTATATTAGTTGCATATTTAGTTGATATGAGTTGCATCTAAGTTGCATATTCAGTTGATGCGAGTTGCATATTTATTTTATATTAGTTGCATATTTAGTTGATGCGAGTTGCATATTTAGTTCATACTAGTTACATATTTGTTATGGATAATGCTTAGTTCATATGTTGTGCATGTTTAGTTCTTATATGTTGCATTTGTACACCTATTGGGATGCATATTTAGTTGATTTTGAATGCTTATTTGCTTATAAGTGTACAGATCAAAGCTTCTTAGCAAAGTTGCATGTTTGGCCACTGATGTTATTGATGTGATTTCGTTGCTTCAATATGCACCTGTGGAGGTGACAACTGATGGGAATTACATGAAGATTCATGAAGCAACCAAGAATCTCATTTCTTCCAATCTTGAGAATCCTGAATCTTCGCAAAGACCTTCTACAGTTGATTATGAAGACAGTGAGGAAATAAATGCTTTCTGGAATAATTCATAAACTATTGCAGTAATCGAGAAGGTTGAGCGTGCCATTGAAAAGAAAGCTCAATATGAAAAGACAATGGTTGATATTCTAAGTTTTTATTTGGGAATGGGGTTGTCCCAAGAAAGTGACAGGAGTTGGGAGGATGTTCTTAATATTTCTAAGCAATTTTCTGAAGATCCAAATGTTGATGATATTCAAGGTGAAAGCACAATTCCTACTGTTGGTGTTGAAGTGTCTGTTGAGGAATCAGCTGCTGAGGCTCATGTTTCGGGTGGAGCGCCAACTTCTGATAAAGCTCCTTTGAAAGTGTCTGTCGAAGAGCCAATTTTGGATGAAGTTCATTTCAAAGTTTCTGCTGACGAACCATTTGTTGAGGTGTCTGTCGAAGAGTCAATTTCTGATGTTCCTGTTGAATCAACAGTTGATGTGCAGCATGTGTGTGTTCAAGAAGCAGCTGTTGATAATGTTCAAGAACCAGCTGTTAAGATGGAGATCGAAAGCGAGAAATTGAAGAGGAGATCGTGATAGAGAAAGAGAAAGAGAAGAAGTTAGAGAAGGTGAAAATGTTGTTTCTACTTATTCTATTTTTTATTTTTATGTACTGCAATTTTATTTTAATCAAGAAGTTATGTATTTGGTTGTATTTGGTTGCAGTCTGTGGTAACCAAGTGATATAGCCATACTATCGTATATCGGTTTATACTATCACGGTTCAGAGATTACCGAGTCGACTTAGCCAAAGTCGACTCTCTCCGAAGACTCCCTACGATATCTCTAGTCAGGGGTCCAGGCGTCTCTCGGTCGACTTCCACGTGTCGACTAGAATAAGTCGACTTTCCCGGAAGGATGGATGAGCGCATCAGGGTCTACCGATGACTGAAGATGACCCCTTCGACTCGAGTTGGTATCCCGAGTCGACTGGGGAAGTCCCGAGGCTTATAGATCCCCGACGATCCGGTATATTTCGATATATCATAGGAAAGCTGTCAAGGATAAGAAGGAAGCTAATAAGGATAA